AAAAGTAAAAGTAAAAAAAAAAAAAAAACTTATATAAGATAATTAAGTTCCACTCAGAACTAGACTGACAGGATAATACTCAATTAAAACCCTTTAATCTAAAGCAAATGAAGATGTTGTAGCTGTCACTGCAGGGCAACAACAAATTCATTATCACAGTTTCATATTCTTGAGAACCTCACAATGAGCGATCCCACAAAGGTTGCACTGCAAAACGTGCCAGTGTGCGTGGTGAATTCAGATCATTCGTGTGTGTAGAAAGTGACATGAAAGGCCAACAAACACTCAGAGAGACGTGATCAACCTGGGGTCTGGCAGTAGGCAACCACCACTCATGTGCGGGGGTGGCACCTTGTTCCTTCACCTGTGCAAACCTGAACGGACCTTACACTGTGCACCACGAACATCTGTTGAACTGCTGTATTATCACAGATACACTGATAGTGGCTCTGCACTGGGCTGGGGCCAAGAAGTGGGCTTGTTGTGACAGGAAGGTTTCCGGCTAAAATCTTGTGCTGAATAACTGGGGGAAAATCCTGGAACGAGATGCTGTAAAATGTCATTCAGCTTCCAAAAACAATCAAAGCGATGCATGGAAGATGCCAGTGGCCGGTGGCTGCCCTGGCAATCCCCAAAAGTGTGAATGAGAAGAAAAAGAGTGTGTGCACAGTCACAAGACACAGCCTGAGGGCGTAAATCAACCCCATTCTGCAGGTCTGAAGTTTACACAGAGAGGCCGACTCACCTGTGACATCTGGGGTCTGAAATTGATCTCCTTCAGGTCCACTGATCCGGGCGACAGGTTGTGCAACATCTGGCACAAGAGCACCCCGTCTCGCAGGGCCTGTGCCAAGTCGAAGACGGCCGCCGAGGGCCACACGACCCGGTGGTTCGGGGGCAGGACCTTGCAGTCTATCAACCACCGCCCGCATTGTCTCCACTCCTCCATATCGGCTCCGGAGACTCTCTCCTCCTCTCACAAAGTAAACCGAGTCCTCGAAGTGGTTCACAGCCGGGCTGAAAGCGGCGGGTTCACGGCGCACAAGCAGGCACTACGCTCGGTTCCCTACCTGAGCCGGATGTCTTACTCATTCACTACCAGCTCCACAATCAGGCAAATTTCGCAACTGTATGTTAATCGCAGTGGGTCGCCGCACTATAGCCCCATCCCAGGCGCATGTCAGCTCTGCTGTCGCCACAACATGGAAATGATGAAGGCTTGAAAAAGACTCAAATAATAACAGCGCTTCCACAGATCCAGCTCAGCAGACGGCGGCGATGTGAGCAGAAAACGGAGTCGACCTATGGGAATTTTCTTCTCTTCATTCTTAAAAACTTTTCTTAGCATGTCCCAAATCCAAAAGGCGTGAATGGACGGCTACAGTAGTGGCTAATAAAACAGCTGGATGCGGCGGTTTGTCATGTGTCGACTTCACGAGTGTCTCACATTTCAGTGAACCAAACAGCACAGCCTACCATGCAAATGTGGAAAAAACAGCGTTACAAGTCCTGTTTAGCTGTTCAACCAGAGCCCGGAGTCACCAACCGCATTTACAGCGCATTTCCCCAGAAGCGAAGCGTCAAAAACAAGAACTTCCCGTAATTTCCCAGAGCAATAACAATAAAAGAAACAGAGATAATACACAGAGCAGGCTCTGTACAGCGCCGGGATCACCCTTGTTTCCACAACAGTCTAAACAACGCTCTCCGGCAGCGGAAACATGTCCAGGAGAAAAGAGAAATAGCAGTGTTTACATTTATCCGGTTAACGTTACTTTGTTTGGCGCTTTTACGCACAGCCGGAATAGCGTTACGCGCGTACACAGCTCTGCTTTTCAGTGATTTGTGCCTCCCTTCCGTTCATGTCCTCTCTTCTCTCGCGTCTCCCACTCCTCGTTTCCCTCTCGGACGGAGATGTTTAGCGGTCCCGACCCCAGCTGCACAAATCCTGAGGAGAGCGCGTCCGGGATTCTCTCTCGGTGTTCAGGCAGGAGGCTGAACGAGCTCGCACGTGCCGTTTATCTCGTGCTAAGGTAACACTTGGGTAGTGTGTCCACACTTTGGTAAAGTGGCTCCATACTCCAAGAATGTGAGTTTCAGGGAATATTTTTTTTTTTTCAACTGGGAGTTGTGGATGCGCCCTCTGACGGATGAGGCGCACACTGCAGGGGCTTCTGATACAAGGGGATTAAAGGGGCATTTCAAAGAAGAAAAAACATTTGAAAAAATAATAGTTTTCAGTTAATCTGCTTGAGCTGAAGTGGATGGTTGTGGTTATTCACGCGTTGTATTAAATAAATGATTTTGTATTTTTGTTAAAGGTGCAGAAGGTGTTGGTGTGGAGGTTAAAAGTCAGGAAAAGGGGAAAAAAGGGGATAACTAAGACACTATCAAGCATTGTTGGAAATGCAGGATCTGCGGGTTTTGGCCATACTAGAGATAAAAAGTCATGATATGTTGATTTCTGCATGTCCCAACTTTACATGAAATGCTACATCTCTGGAGTGCCCCTTTAATGTAATTGTTAACCCCATCACAAAACACACACACACACACACACACACACCGTGTCAGGTGTACAAACCACTGAGAATACATTGATTGATGAAGGATTAACATAAAATAAAGATTTTCTGCTATTTAGACCTGATGTGTTTTAATAGGACATGTTTTTTGGGTATACTGCTGAGCCAAACTGTTTACAAAATTAGACTTAACGCTATGTATTGAACCTTCATTCATAGGGTAGATGGTCTTCTACAGCAGCATAATGTTACGATAAAATAACAGAGACAGTACCAGACGGATTCATTAAAATAGTATAGGCTCAGTGAAAGCAGCCACAGGCAGGTGGAGGAAATGATTAAGACCAGGCTTGAAAGTACAGAGAGGTGAAGGTGTTATTTAGGTGATAGTGCAGCTTAAACCACGAGGCCGCTGTACTAACAGTAAAATAAATATTATAGGCAGGTTTTCGTTCTCATAAAATTGTGGTTCACTTAAACTGCAATATATTAATCTGTGTGGCAGAGTGTCATTAAAACACTAACCACTACATTTACAGTGGTGGGAAATGCTCAATATACTCTGCCAATAATAATTGTGATTGGTTTGTCATGACTTGTTCCGTCATACCTACCATCATTTCATTTGCGGTGACGGCAAGTCTGAGCCAACACTTTGGAAGTGGCATATTTCATAACTTTTTATTTTTACCAATAGGCAGAATTTCACAGAAGACATTTTGAAATGTCACAGTAGGAAAAGTGCAGGTATAAATAATAAATTAATGATGGCTGAATTGCATTTAGTTGCTTTAGTTTTAGGGTCGTGGTATTGCGCATGCTGGCTCACTGTCATGACTTACTGGGACACTCGAATAGAACAGAGCCATTCTGTATGTTATTAGTAACACCGGAGCTTGAAGTTGAAATGTCTGCTGTGAAAAAGGCCTGTCACACTTTACTTAACCTTAACCTCCCTGTAAAGTGAAATAACATGCATTAAAGCTGCTATAATCAATATTTTTATATTAACAATGGATAAAATGAGTATGTCAAAAAGTTTGCTCGTAGCGACAGTTATCAACAACTTTGCTGTTTGGTTGACTGTCACCGCTCTCATCAGCACCATTTTCACATGCAAAAATAAATAAACAGCAACAAAAAGAACCACTGTACACTTCCTTCCCAGCACCAAATGGCACACAGACACAGTTAGCAACTAACTGGTGAACAAAGTGGAGCATTTAGCAGCTAAAAAGGCCAGAGAAAGCTAAAAGGAAAGTGAATATTGGACTTAGATTCCTTGTTTGGCTAGAAACACAACTCTGAATGAATGCTAATGTTTTATTATAAGTTTCCATATACATTTCAAAGGTTATGTTAGTGTTGTGTTTATGGCTTGTTTCCATTTTCTCCCAAGTGTATGGAAAATTTGTTAATGTAAGCTTAAGCTAACCTTTCAGCTTTAAGCTAACAGTTCAAGGCTTCAATTGCTTTAATGCAAAGTAAGTGAAGTTCTCTTTACATATAATTATGTGTACACCTTGATCCCAGATGCCCTCTACAACTTGTCCATGTTGTCTATGAATACTGATCCAATCCCTGGCCAACATCACTTATATCAGCTTTTTGCAATTCTTTCCTAATTGTCTTCTACCATTTAGATTCTTTGGGTTTTCTTTTGTTCACTTCAATAATTTGGCACTTGTTCCTTTTCCTTTTCCTTTCTCTCTCCTCTTCCATAGATTTCCCAATGTCAGTCCTTGTTAATAAAATACTCGCACTTGGTCAATTAATCACTTAATTGTCATTAACATCAATATGCCACCTGTTTCTTGTTAAACCCTCTTTGTAATGTCTCATTACTTTCTCAACTCAGTCATCATTGACCCTTCCCACCTTCAGAGTTTCCACAGGGAAATCATTCTTTTGGCTAATTTATCTGCGGGTATAAAATAGAGTTGTATAGTAAAATCTGGTGTTCTGTGCTTTCTTTCTTTTTTTTTTTTTTGAAGATTGCAAAGCTGGATTTATAAAGCCATGTACAAGTGAATAAATTAAAATCAAGGATTTAAACGGCCTCTTGCAGCTATTATTTACAGCGGGCATGAATATTGTGGACTCTTTGTCTCAGCAAGGAGCATCTCCTTCTGCAGCCTTCTTTGCTTAGTGGCTTGGGACCGGCCAGTAAAAAATGGCCTCCCACCCAAATATTTTGGACGTCAAATGGGAAACATCGATTCAAGATGTTTTAAAAAAATAATAGTGACGGAACTACAACAGTGAAACCAAAAAGTTGATCATCTTTTTACCCCCCTGTAGCTGTCTCCAGCAGCCAACATGACCCAGACAGGGGGTTTGGACCTGTTAACTGTTTGTTGCGCAGAGACTATACTAGCCGCTGAAAGAAAAGTATGAGCCCCTCAAGAGCAGGCTTTGAGAATTAGATAAAATCGAATTTTCTGGCACACGCACTCCCTGATGCACCTGTTGCCCTTACGACACCTGTTACTGCACAGCAGGCTTTGTCTGTATCTTCAACTGTTCATAATGGTTGCTGGCTATCATTTCTGACCCAGAGGTGGTAAATGGTAAATGGAC